TGACAGCTGACTGGGAGGAAAAAAAAAAAGGGAAAATAACTAAAATCTGCCTAAACACAAGCCCAAGAGAAAGAAGCTGTTAATGTAGCTCGAAGATTTACATCCTTCATCATGCTTTTCCTAGGCAACACTCACATTTTCACCCCATCTACATCTCAATGTTTTGATTAAAGACAGGAAAAATACAACAAAGTGACCCTATTACAGAATTTTTAATACTACTATCCAACTAGATTTCTCTTCACCATGAATAGACTTGACTGTTATTTAAGCATCTACGCTGTCTTCATAAAAATTTGCAAATATATTTTAACAACATATTTACAAGTTAAAAAATATTTGAAACCAATTATGAGACTTCTATTTTTTTACATAAATTTTAAGTGATCACTATTTCTATATTCATCCATTTTATCAAACAAATAAAGCACTATGTCTGAGATAACAAGATTTACAATAATCCAATTTACCAGGGATAATTTGACAAACACATTACATCAGCAAGCGGAGTTCTGCTTCACAACTTTTGAAAACGCAGTCTTGTACTTGGTATTTTTCAAGTTAAATTTTTAACTGCAAGAAAATAATTTTTTCAATTATTCCTTTTGGTCAAACTTGCAGTAGGATAAAAACCCAGAAAAACTCCAAAAATAAGCTTGATAAAAATTTCATTGTTTGCCCATTAATGGTTAATAACATTTTCAACCATAAAGTGCAAACACAGAAAATGAACTAAAATCATCATTACACCGTGTGTCAACTGCCAGAACTGAAAGACAATTTTTAGCTGTTCTAACACCTATATTCACTACACTTTCAAAAACATTCTTGTGGCAAGTTGGCAAGGCCATGCTGCCCAGTAGAAACTAAAAGCACACCATCCTACTAACATAAGCAAAGCTTTACAGATACAGATAACTCCCCATGCTCATTACAGTTTCCATCAAAATGCTACTGAATTATTTAGTTCTAATGCCAAGACTGACAATTCTAAATAAAATATTTATCAAAAAACATAGTATGATCATTTAGTATGTTCAAGTCATTAATTGCAGCATTATGATCAGGATTAGCTTATTCTGACACTAGTTAACTACTTGATGGGCAGGGCAGAAATAAATTAAATCCATAACAATTCAAATTAAAAGTTCATCTCAGGATCAGTCTTATATGTGGCTGAGTTAGTGTTTTGTTACTAAAATTCTGAACTTCCTGCTTTAATTGTTTGAGATCCATACAAGCATAAAATCCACCATCAGGTTTTTTTAATACATTTCTGTCAAACAACCCTGTTGAAGCTTTCTACAGATGTGTGTCTGACCTACATGCCAGTCTGTAGCCTCAAAGATGATCTACTTCAAGCCTCAGAATAAAGGAGAATGCAACTTCAAGGACTTTAAAAATATTCCATAAAATAAGTCACAACTTTTCCATGCAAAGATTATACAGAACAGTGATATTGTAAACAGACTTCTGCTGAACAATCACTAGACAATGCTGCCAGATCAAACCATATTCTACATTCATACAACAAATCTGCATTGAACTCCAAAAAGCCCACCTCCATCTCCAGCTCAGGCAACATCCTAAATTCCATCTCACAAGAGTGACAGAAGTCAGGAAGGAGGAAGATGTGCCTTAACCTAATAAGCCAAGTACTGCAAATAGAAACTTTCTGAAATCCACAGCTATAGTCATGTAAATGAAAACACAGTATTTATATACAGAAGCATCTAAAATGATGAAATACATCCCACTTACAACTTTACATTGACACAACACATGGTTTTCTTTGTTCCAAACAGGGAGTCAATGGCCCAAACTGATGTTAAATGTTTACCTCCACTCCTTCATATTAAGACTCAACTAAGTTTAATCATCTGTAATACTTGTCATTAGGACTTTGCTTAAAACACAAGCAGAAGACACAAATTAAGCTTGCTCCAGTAAATTTTCCAAGAGACAGTCACTGAGCCTCTCCCTGGACAGCTGACGGCCAGCTAAAGAATCCAGCACCCATGGCGATGTTTGCCTCCTGACACCAAAATTAGTGCTGATTGCTGCAGAGACTGCCCCTTCACAGGTTTTGTTTCCTTTCAACTCACCTGGTTTTGAGCCACAAGCTCTATGCAAAACTTGGCAACATAGGCTCTTTTATTCAGGCAGCAGGATACACAACAGGTAATGGCAGCCAAATAGCATTCAACAACGTAGTATCATAGAAGCATAGAATAGCCCAGGTTGGAAGAGACCTTAAAGATCATCTTGTTACAACCCCACTGCTGTGGAAAAGGACACCCTCCACTAGAACAGGTTGCATAGAGCTCCATCCAACCTGGCCTTGAACACTTCTAGGGATGGGGCATCCATAGCTTCTCTGGGCAACAGGTTCCAGTGCATCACCACCCTCCACAGTGAAGGATTTTTTCCTAATAGCTAATCTAAACCTATTCTCTCTCAATTTGAAGCCATTCTCCCTTGTCCTGTCACTACAGACCCCTGCAAATAGTCTGTCTTTCTCCATCTTTCTTGCAGGCCCCTTCAGGTACTGGAAGGTTGCCATGAGGTCACCACAAAGCCTTCTCTTTTCCAGGCTGAATGTGGCCAGCAGGTGATTTTGCCCCTTGTACTCTACCCTCATGGACCCCACCTGGAGTGCTGCATCTGGCACTGGGGTCCCTAGAACAGGAAGAACATTGCCCTGCTGGAGCTAGTCTAGAGGAGCACAACCAAAATGATTAGAGGGATGAAGCACCTCTCCTCTTTGGAAAGGCTAATAGAAAATTCTTCAGCAGCATAAGCTAAGTATCCATGTCACAGCTCCCCTTTATATACATTTAATCAGTTCTTTTCAGACTGTTTAATACATTTTTCTGGTTTTAATCTCTTTTGTCCTGTGCCTAGCATGATGTTCAATTGTTTGTTTACATCACCCATCTCCTAAGAATGCATTCAGGTGCCAGGGACTGAAAGTACTCCATTTGAGTTCATAGTAAACACCTTTAAATTCTGTATCTAACCATTTCCTATGTTACTGAATATTCTCATCATACAATGCTAGAGGTATATTGTAAAGAACTTTGTTAACTGGATTTCAGTTACAACAGTCAGCCTCAAGTACTCCCAACATTAAACTCTGCTCTACTGCATATTTTTCAGACTTTCACAGCATCTCTCTTCCTTCTATGTAATAAGCTCATATTTTCACCAGCACTTTAATTTTACTATAGGAATAACTACTACATAATATTCACCCAACTTTTAAGTGTGGGTCAGCCCCCTACATAAAAATCAAAGCTACACCTCCCAAGTTGCAGATAGGCTACAACTTAGTAATTTGTGGGTTGCTGAAACCCAACTCACATCATACCTTTTCACTACTCAAACTGAATGCAAGCCAAATTCCTTCTTTCATGAAATTACAGCCTTATTTCTAGTAGGGCTTCTGGAAGACTAAGTCAGTGGTGATTGATGCTAAAAAAGGCAAATACATTTAACCAGCTTAAATTCACTTATATAAGGCCTAAAATAATCAGAGGAGGAAAAATCAGGACAGAAGATTTAGTATCTGCAAACAGTTTGATGTAGCACAATCAAGTTTTAGTGCATTTCAAGCCCATTTTAATGATTTTCCTATAAGTGAAATCCCTGAAAAAAACACGTTTCACTTTAAACATAAGTGGGAATAGTAACATTAAAAGGAAGAATTTATTGGAATATTCAAACACATTTATCTAACTACAACACTTGTCTAGTAAAGGATACGACAGTACTTAGAAAAAATAACCACAAAGTTCCTTAAACATAATCAAAAATACAAACAAGTTATCTATGAATATTATACAGAAAATATTTCCAGACTAGGCATAACATAAGACAAAGAACATCAAGTGCTGCTCCAAGTGAGGTAACAGCAGCTCCTAGAAAATACATCAGATACAGTGCATAGTACTGAAAATGCTACAATAATAACTCTTAAAATTATTGTAACTCTAAACCACTAAAAGACTACCACATTCAGCTACCTTGGGTTTCAAAGTTGGTATTTTTCTTATCTAAATGGTACTGAATGGAAAAACAGGAAAATTACTCAGTTACCTGAGACAGTGCGTTCATTTATTGCTCTGATGCACTGATATCATTACTTTGACAAAGCAAGATATAAGAGTTAGGGAGACTCACACCAAAAAAAGGTAAAAAATAAAAAACCGTCTCAGAAACACTACTCACAGGAAGACCTAAAGGAAGCAAAGATGACTAGCATGGCTGCCAAACATAAAAAAGGAGAGAATATTAATTTTAAATGACTAAAGTTTTCACCAAGAACTTCACACACCATAACAGACATGTCTAATGATATGTTAGGCAATAAGACAATCCAAGCAATTTCAAATACAAATGAACACAAGGAGAGCAACTATTGCTTGTTGTTTTGTTTCTGGAACAGCCTATCAACATGTCAGGTCTACTAGTGAGTTTCAGTTTGCACCCAGTCAATTCACATGGATCCAGAGAGTTTGTTTTCAACAGGTTTAGCAAGGCAGAGGGCCTGTTTGAAAGCTGGCAAAAAAAGTAGTATTGAGACTTGTCTTTCCTTTTCTAAAGAGAAGGATCTTTCAATAGAAGTAATTGTTAGAAGACCTTAACACAAAGGTTCCAGGTTTAGGTGGTAGGTACATTCTGTGTAAAGACACAGCTTATACACTGAGAAAATAATGTTACCATCGGTTATAAAACTACACACAATGACTTACATCACGTGGACTGTTCTCCCATCCCACAAATCATAGCATGCTTTAATGAACTAGTGCAGCACGTAACATTTTTTCATGTTTCAGATTAATACAAAGATACAAATAATTACGTACAACATTTCAATTTGCTTTCTTCCTTACCTCCTTATTGTAAATGGCAGTGGCTTTGAACCAATATTTGGAACAGATAATTAATGTCAGAATTTAAGTTCTTGAAAACCTCTGGAAAAAATAGCTTTGTCTTACCATGACTATGAGCAGTTCCTGGGCTGAGACATGGTTGGAGTAACTCTTTGGTTGGAGTAAAATAGGCCTCTTTCCCCTGGTGCTGGTTCATTTTTCCTGGAGTCATAAGCTGTGATTCATCGCTGTTTGTTACCACTGCTGAAATACAAAGTGGATGCTCATTCAATGATGTTATGTGCTTGTGCAAAGATGTCTGTTAAGAACTTCACTGCTGTTTAGGAAGCTGGTATTCAATTGCTGTCTTACAAAACTTTTCATTCTAGAAAACTGGGGTTTCAAACCAGAGGTTTGCTTTGGAGAAGATGGCAGAGAGAAACCAATAAGACTGGTCTAGGACACAAGGCAGAAGATCAAAACTAAAAATAGGAGGAGGCTGGAAAGACTGCTACTGAATACCGATACAGAACTGAACTGTTACTTCATTTCTGAAATCCTTCTTTCTTTGCCACTTTTGTGATAGTTTTTGGCTTAGCTATCAGCCAACAACAACTCAGCCAACCAGGAAACAGCTTGGCAGATCAACCTGTGCCAACATGAATATATGTACATACATCATAAGAAACAAGTCTTCATAATAAAGATCATGTACAGACTCTGTCAAGGCAAAGGTTAAAGCAACAGAGTTACTATCCTTGAACCTTATCAGTCTAAAAGACTTGTCTGGTGGTGTTCTTACTTATTTCTAAGATCACCTGGTCAGTCACCCTGGTTAGTTTCTGTACCTTTCCTTAAGCTGCACAACAACAAAACTACCTTATTTTCATAGAGAATGACTGACTCAGTAACACTTGTCCTGTGAAAGCAGATGTACTGACAAAGAGATCAGAGAGGGAAACAAGCAATACTTAGTACAGCAGAAAAGATGAACTTGTAACACTGCTGATTTTAAAAGCTCCCAAGTTTTCCTAAGAAGATCAGAAGACTGAGTCAAACCAAACAAGTTCTTTTCCTTGGATGGACTCTGCAAAGTGCAGAGGCCCTTTTCTTAGCTTCATCACTACTATTATTACAGTAGTGGAAGTGTAAAACATGGTCAGTGTAAAAGGTTGCATATGAGTTTGTTCATTAAACCCTGAATAAAACTATACGTAAAAGGTATAGGGCAAATATATTCAGAAAACTTTAGAGAAATATTCTAAGTAAAAGAATTTACTTAGTACTTAGAAAGGGGGGGATGAAACAAAGAAGCTTAAAAAAAAAGACTAATCAGTGATAGACTGGGAGTTTCTTACTAAGCAGCTGGCATCGCCTGTTTGTTTGTCCTTGCTCTACACTGACATGCACACTTCAAAGAGAGGAGATACTAACCAGGGCCAAGAAGGAAGTGGTAAGAGGAATGGGCCCCAAGAAAGGAATTTAGGGATGCACCAGCCGGGCAAACAAAGTAAGATCCAAAAGGTAACTAAGAACCTGCTGAAGCGAAACAAGTCAAGGTAGAAGCTCACAGCAGGATGTTATCTTACCTTGCTAGATGTGTAGAACACTAACCTTAGGATTGCTTTAGCTTATTAACACAAGGAATACCGCAAGTTAAGCAACATATGTAAAAAGGCCTAACTGTAGAATAGAAAATATAGGTAAAAAGTTAAAAGGTGTACAATAGGTCGGGGAACCGACACACGAAAGCACCGAGACGGGAATCTCCAGCTCTGCGACCACCAGGAGGTGGGAACAGACTCCCTAGCAACAACGGGAACAGCGTCCCTAGCAACAGATCGCGCATGCGCAGAGCGCACCGCAGCGCTCCACGGGGCGGGAATGGAAGAGTCTCCCCCCGGGGCTGTGGGAAGGGTGTGCGCCCTTGGCGGAGCACAGACTCCCCGGCCGCCCTGCGCTGCTTTGCTTGCTGAAGCCTTGCTCAATCAATACATTTCCTAATTGAACTGGCTCCTGCCAATTTATTGGGCCGCAATTTATAACAGAAGCATTTTTCAGCAAAGCCTAGAATGAACACAAGGCAGTATGAAAAAATAAAAAAGTGCTTGAATATACAGAGAAGGGCAACAAGGCTGGTGAAGGGCCTGGAGCACAAGTCTGATGAGGAGCAGCAGAGGTTGCTGGGGTGGTTTAGCCTGGAGAAAAGGAGGCTCAGGGGAGACCTTATCACTCTCTACAACTCCCTGAAAGGAAGTTGTCACCAGGTAGGGTTCAGTCTCCAGGACAAGAGGAAACAGCCTCAAGCTGTGCAAGGGGAGGTTCAGATTGAGTATAAGGAAAAGTTTTTCACCAAAAGGGCTGTCAAGCATTGAAACAGGCTGCCCAAGGAAGTGTCACCATCCTTGGAAGTATTTAAAAGATGTCTAGATGTGGCAACTTGGGGACAGGATTTAGAGGTGGACTTGGCAGTGCTGGGTTAACAGGCATTTTCCATCCTAAATGATTCCACGAAGAATGCAAGGATTACAGGATACCTACACCTGTATGTACTATTTTTCTGCATCAGATAAACCATCTAAAGCTCTGGTACAGACAACTATACCCTATGTGAACTGCTGCTAAGGTAAAATATGCGAGGAAATAGAACAAGGGAGGTGAAAAGCTCATTACACCAGTTCAGAATTCAAGTCTGTCAGTGCCAGAAGGCCAACATTTCAAAGTACTGACTAACTTTGTTGCACTTGTAGTACCACCAACCTAGCTTTTTATCGTCCTGCAGCTACAAGTAAGGGAAAGGGAGGAGACTGATGACCTGATTTTTATAGGTGCCTGCATAAGTGCAACTGTAGATTCTACAGTTGTGTTCAGGCAGTTAATGATCTCTATGAAGAAACATCTTAAGCATCTTAGAGGAGAAGCTCTGGAACCTTTAAAGACAGAGATATAATCAAAGCAAACTATTATGAGGAAAAGGAAAAGGTACTTGGAAAGCAGAGATAAGAGAGAAAAGTTAGTGTAGTAGCAAACCTGAGTTTTCAAGTTGTCATTAAATCAAACACCTACCACTTGGAAGCAGATCTTTTTAAGAGAGTAGATTTAATTAGTACATACTAATAATTTGTAGAGGCTCCTTGGATGTTATTTATAGCTTCTGATGGATTGATTTTATAAACACTACAAAAAACGTATGATATGCACATAGGTCACCCATTTACTGACAAGTTGTCATAATCTTCTAGCTAATTTTGAACTCATTTGAAGCACAGAATGATTTTATCCTGGAATTTCATTACATTCACAGAATAAAACCAAGCGATACTGAAAAAGAACAATGGTAATTTACTCTTGTGACCCTGCTCATTTGTGAAATAAAAGTTAGCACAAACGAATAAGTTATGTTTCTAGTCAAACTTGTTCTCTTATTTACCCAAAATACCAAACTGGGTTTTGGACTGATGTGTCCCCATGCACTTGCAGTGAACTATTGGCAAAGTAATCAAAACCTGTAAGTTTCAAAAAGCACACTCAGATTCTGACTAATCTTCAAAGCACTCACACTTCCTAGTGAGATTTGATGAGAACAACCAAAGTACACTTTAAGGGTTTTTTTAAATGACTGGGAGAGGTGAATAATGAACTTTTCTCCACTAAAAAAAAAAATAAGGGAAGCATTTGGATGAGTGGTATACCAGGTAAAATACTTTCCCAAAAGCAAATTTTCATCATACTTCAACTTCTCAATTATGATAGAGAAGAAAACCTAATATTTAGCCCAGCAGCCTATAATGTAAAGACACATGCTAACTAGTATGAACATATGTGCAAACACACTGTAGGAGAAAGGAGTCACTTACTTGATGGTCCATGAGAGTCTCTGTTATCACCATGATGCTGTGTACACATACAATTGAAGAACGAAGAACAGCAAACATAAAAATCCAGGCCAGGAAGAAGCAAGTGCACAAAAAGCAGCATCAGCGGGAAAGAAGGACAATGAAAACAGTGTTAGTTCATAACTAAAATACAACATGCACCTCAATGCCAAAGGCAAGACCTCAAGGAACTTAGCAGTTCAGAAGAGTTGAAGCAACAAAACTGACAAATATGCTTATAGAAAAGCCAATATTAGAAGCCATCATTAGTAAACAGCAACGGCCTCAACTGCTTATTCTGAGTGGAACCCCTCCATCAGTAATTTAGTGCTCACATGACTTAATACACAACATTTTTAAAGAAATAATGAGCTGCAATGTTTTCAAAAGATTAACCCTCTGAAGAAAGCTGCAAAAACCCCACAAAATTTGTTTCCAAAAGAACTCCACTTTCAGACAAGCATTTTGGAAAGAAAAAAAACCTTTACAGCCATCAGTAATATGCAAGCATTAATGCTAGGTCCAAGCCTAACTGCTTTTGCACACAAACACAAACTTAGAAGCCACAGAAGCAATTCATCTATGAACACAGATAATGTTTTAAGTTGCTTAGGATGCAAGACAAGCAGTGCAGTTTTAAATTTAAGAGAATATTTTATATCAAAATACTTTCATCAAGTAGTATAAAATTTTTTTCTGCCCCACTGAATGCACTAGAGAAGGGTCATTACATAGTAATAGTCTGTATTCCTTTCTGACATTTCATCTGGAATCTTCTTTAAAATCATTGCTAACCAAGACCACAGTCGAGGCTAAGATCCCACTCTGCTCAGCTGTGTACAGATGTGAGGCAAATGTCACCTATGTCTTAAAAGATTTACTACATTTGAAATCCATGAATATTAGAAAAGGAGAAAACAAGTACATTGATCAGCATCAACATTTCCTCCTTAAAAATAAAATAAATCCAAACATTATATATCTTCTATATCCCAAATAGAAAACTTGTAGTCCATAAAGGAGAGAAATCCTTGCCCTGCCCTAAAGAGAATCCAATCTTGCCTCTTTTATCAGGAGCAAAGAGAACAAAACAAAAAAACAAGACCTTTGCAAGCAGGAGTCTTGTCTTGTACTCCTGATCTCAAAACACAGATTTATTTTTTTTTAAATCCCTCACAGCTGGCTAGGGGTGTTAACCTGACAGTGCAATGTGCAAGTGTAAAGTATTGCAATGAAAATACAGCAACTGCAGTACACATCATTGCAAAGGTGAGGGAACCCTTCTCTCATAATTTTGCACTTTCTCGAACAGGACTTGATTAAACAAGAAAAGCTGAAATAAAATAAAAGTACACTTGGTAAATAACCTTCTAGTTCTGTCAGAGACTAAATTTAGGTCAAAGAGTAAAACACTGCTAAAGGAATCCATGAACTTACTGGATAGGTTTAGGTACTAGTACATGAAAAGTATTCAAGAGTTCAATGGCTTTCACAGAAGAGTGTTTCTTTTCAATGTACAGATAGCATACTGCAGACTAGGAAACAATATATGTTCAGACTAGAACTGCACTATCCTACACTGATTTTAGATTCCAGAGAATAGTGACTGACAAGAGAGCAAGAAGCCTGCAGTAACTGTATAGAAATCCAGCAAGTGACTGAAGGATTGGGAGCACTGCTAGTCAGTGCTGGTCTGCTTTCTTTCACATTAGAAGCTGCAAAGCAAGAGAACAGAACTGAAAAAATACATTGTAAACAGACATATAAGACCTGTATTATCTGAGACTCAGACAGCGTGTTCACTCAGTGTGTACTTACATGTTGAAGAAGTAGGAGTGAAAAAGCACCAGAGCAGGTCCTGTCTCACTGCCTGCCTCTCAAGCAGCCCTGGCCAAGATACAACATGACACCACAGAGCAGGGCAACCCGTCACCTGAGACCATGATGCAGGGGCTTTTCATGTAAATATTTTAGCACTGCATGGTTAATCCTATGAACGGGTACAAACAGCTCCTACGCCAGAGGCTGAAACACAAGACTGTCTAACTCTGTCCTTGATCTTTGCCAACAGACATTCTGTTTACACCCCAAACTGCCTCTGTTGCTGGTCAACCCCTCTCTTCATTGGAGGTGTTTGGGTCTGTGTATTTACCTAAAACCTACAGAATACATTCTTTTTAAACATGGATGCAAGATGCTAAGGTACTGAAATAAGACTATTTTGACCAAAAAGACCTCTTAATTTCCCAGTGGCTTACTGCACCTATATCATCTGCAACTCCTGTCACTGCAGACTGGGGATCCAAACCACTAAGGGAATAAAACATGACAGTTTTACTACTACCATGTTTTCTCTGAAAAGAAAGCCCTCAAATATTCCTGTCCATCACCTCCCACAACTCTTATTCTAAATATACAAAATTAAGAGAAACAGACACGTATTTTCAGAGACACAGCCTACCCTTATTTCCACATTGATTTAATTGATGACTTGGACTACAGATTACAGAACGAGTCTGTTGACAAAGCAGGTTGTCAACATTACATGATTGACTTAGCTTCTACTGTGGCACATTTACTTAAAAATGTTGCTACCAAAACATACAAAACCTAGTCCTCATCACAGTAAAGTTTTAGATTAGGATTTAAGAATAAACACAGCAATATAAAGCATCACATGAGACAGCAGCCATAACTCTGGCTTTATACAAAGGCAGCTCATGTGTTTCAGACATTGATTTCTGATAAGTAAAGCTCATAACAACTTCTGCTAAACTTAAAGTTACATCTTCCAAGTTGTCCTAAAAAAACCAAAATCCTTTTCCTGTTGAGCAGCAGGGTAGAAGCAAAAGCCTATGTCATGCTAACATGTCTGAACCTCACTACAAAAGTTAAGTTTTATAAAGTATTATATTTACCATCAAAACCTAGAGGTAAGTTTTTTATGGAGTTTAAATGCACATTTTAAAGCCAAGCTAGAGTTCTCACACTGCTGAAGGCAGACTTTTCCTAAAGGCAGTCTCTGATATGTGCAAATCATTAAGATTTATCAATCTACACTTAAATTCAGGACCACTAACCCAACCTGCAAATCTGATCAGTAAAGAGGACTTTTATTCTATGCTTCAAGGTACTTTTATGTCTGTTGATGTATTTAAACAGCAAGGACTGACTGCACAAGTTATATCACAGGCAACCTCTTTATTAAAATTATGTTTTGGGATAAATTAAAGGTGACTAAAAATTACTAAAAAATAGTTTTGAAAAAGAATTGTTTACACAAAGCATTCCTATATAATACTCCATGTCCCGGGCCAGTGAGGATTGTTTAATTTAAATTATTATTTAATAGAAAGATAGGCAAAACCTGTTCTCAACAAGAACTCAAAACCAAAGCATCTACTATTCTGCATTGGTTTAATGGCGTCAGACTACAAAAATAGTTTGCTGGGGTGTCACAGCATTTGTGTTCAGATATATATTCAGTACATATCAACCTAACTGTCAGACAAGAAAAGTATTTTACGTAAGACTTTTCTCCCTAGACTGATTCTGGAAAGAAAAGATCACAGCATTAACTTCTGTGATCTCTGTTTTTATTTTACATGCACGCCAAAAAAAGCAAATGAGAAAGCTGACACCTCTAAAAATGGCTTTTTCAGCCACCCCCCCCCCCAAAGGGCTTAAAATCATGGACCAAAATGTTCATCAGTACTCTTCGTGCATGTTGCAACTGATGTATTTCATGAATTTTGATCAGACAAATGGAACCTAAAAAACTCAAACCAAACAGATTGCAGCTAAAAGTCTGGAATATTTATAGATTTCAAACATGATTTAAAAAAATTTAAAATTCTTGGAAGTCTTAGGATTTGCATTAACTCAAGGTCTTCAGAATTACTGGGTTTTTTTTGTATTTATTTTTCATATTTTTACTGCAATGTACACCAGACCAAGAATATTGGACTACCACATAAGCTTCCAAAAATGCTTTTAACAGCTGTAGTGCAGCACAGAAAACTTGACATTATAACTGCAAGTAAGACAGACAATTACCCCAACTAGGTGATATTTTGGGAAGAAATGCCTGGAGTAGCCTATCACAGTATACCATCAGTTTAAAAAATATTATTCTGAGATAGCACTTCAGCTGCCTAAGCACATTGGATGAAAGGCAAATCTATCCTTACACTTCACATTCTTACAAAAAGACTTGGTAAAATATATAAGGACTCATTTCAAGATACCTTCTTAAGATCATGCTATTCTGAAGGCATGTCACAAAAAGAAACTAGCACATTTTACATTGCTTGGAAGAGTTTTGCAAACCATTACTTTTTGGGTTTTAATTTTAGTAAACAAGGAGCACAGCAAGTGAATCGACAGGATTTTTCTAAGAAAGTGAAAATAGCCAACTGCAGTTGAGAGTTGATATTCCTAGTGTGTTGCACCTGGGATACAGATGCATTGGCCATGCAATAAACCAATGAATTTGTTTCTTACAGAAAAAAGCCAAGTATTTTCTCAATGTACTGCAACATAGTTTGTCTCTAAATTCATCACTTAAGATAAAAACAGTAATAAAACACATGATCAAATGAATTGCTCCATGTAATAGGTGGCAAATCAAGTTTGTACGTAATGAAGTTTTGAACATGACCCTCACTTCAGTTACAGAAAACATACCCTGTTTTGCCTTTGGGAAGCAGTACTTTGTATCTGAAAGCAGCTTTGGAAACTAAAAAACATTTCCTGGTTCAGCTATTAAGAGTGCTTCTACATCACACAGCTTGTAGAAAAGCTAAATTCTTACATAATTTCAACATGATGATGAGGACAAAGAAGCTAGTGCCCACTAGCCTTACTGGTTTTTAATTGTGCTTAGAAAGAAACAGCTTCAATACTTCAGAAATTTTATAATCAGTACAGATTATCAACTCTTCCACCTCACATTACTCTGACAACATATAATTATCTCTCCTCCTGCCTTTTCTCCTCCCATTCCACCAAGAATTACATTACTTTTTCTATTGTTCATAGCCATTAACTAGTAAATTGCCAATTAGACTGAATTAGTTTTCCTCAAGGACTCTGAAACACACAGGATCAAATCCAAAACTGAAACGTTTTCTGACACCCAGCCCTCTTGACATGAGAATCTACTACACAGTATCAATTTAAACCCAATAAGAACAGATTCAAGCCATTTAACCCTCTTCCTGAAAAAGCATCTTCACATTTATCTGATTACACAAAGGCACATTTAAGTTACTCACTGAATTTCTGTCAAGTTCCCCATCAACTCGAACAGTCTCCATGCTGAAAGGGCCTGCTGTCTGTCTCTTTATCAGTTAGAGTTCTTCCATCCTGCTATTCGAGCTCCTAGAAAAGAAAGGAAAACTATAATAATACAATTCCAAGGTCTGAAATCTGTTAGAGAGCTACACTTTCTGTTCGCTAAGGTTTAAGAGGGGAAATAGTCTTATACTGCAAACTGTGCGTGTTATGGTTCCTTGCAAAATGTGGACATTACCCATAGAAATCAACTTTTTAGAACAGAAAGAATAGTTTCAAATAAAATGGCCAAAACAGAAGCTACTAACAGATGTAAGTGCTTACTTTTACAAATAAGGAAGAGTTCTGCAAAAAAACGAAGCCCACGGGTTTTGCCCTGTATTTCCCCTTGTTTCAGAGTTCCCAGCAGTACACCACTCCCACTCCACAGGCATGCGCACCCAAGCTGTATGGGAACAAAGAAAAGCTATTCTGGAGCAGGCAGAGTTGAGGGCTTCCCAGCATAACTCCAGAAACAGCCACATACTGCTTTGCAGAATCAAGACACAGAAATTCAATAATTTGTGCATGCCAGTACCCTTGGTGGCAGAGAAAGCAATCAGCTGGGCACCACCACACAGCCAGAAAGCAATGCCTCATTCTCTGGACATTACCTATTTACTATGAGAATGAAACCTACAACAAATCTCAGTATTCACAGCATATTTGAAGTCATCAGTGAGACAAGAAATCAATCTGGAATTGAGCAAAAGTTGGTGGAAAAAACACGCTTTAACCATTCATTCATTTAGTGGGTTTTAGGAGGTAACCAGAGCAAACTAGGATGCCTACTGAGATGTCCATCTACAGCCCATTGATCCCTGACTCTCCAAGACAAGATAAAAGCAGATGAGAAGGTTGTATGCTGTCCTGTTTGAAACAGCACAGCCATTATTCCAAAGGGAGAGAACCCTGCAGTCCCACCCTCCACAAAACCACGCTCACTCTGCCCTTCCTTCCAACCAGAGCAAGTGTTTGGTCAGAGAATTAGCCTCAGGGCATTTTACTTCTTTCATTTTGTCCTGGGTTGGGTGAGAGGGCAGGAAGCAGCTAAATTACAAGCTAGATTGCTAAACCAACACTTGAGCAAGAGCAGGGGTAGCATGGAGAAAACTTTTTCTTAAGCTACAATGTTAGCATATTGTGCTTAATGCCTACATCAAGCTACGGTAAGATTTAGTAGAAACACATTTAGTATGGGCAGAGGAGACATCACAACCCCTCCAGGGAACCTGAGGAGCATTCTGGGTGCAGAAGGATGGGAGAAAGGCAAGGAGATGACCAGAATACATCAGATCTTGCAGTTCAAGACCTTCCTCAGGAAATAGACATTCATGGAAACAAGTCTTACTATGAACAATAACCATTTATTGAACTGTTTTCAATGGGTTTATCATCATATTTTTTCGTTTTGTATTATGCAAAGCACATCAGAACTTTTCCTTAGGAAAATACACTAGAGCAAATTACCATAAATATGCCACTAAAACACAAGTATTTTTAAAAACGCTTAATAAAATTACTGTATGCTAACAAAATTGCAAAGTTTATAGCTCCCTAAGACTCACTCTAAAGAACTGACAAGGATCTTGCTCAAACACCTGAGTAATTAACTGAGGTGCAAATAACTGGGAAGCATTTGGCTAGATGTTCTCATGTAAATTAGAAACAGTAGACATCTGAAAGGAGATGTCTAAAGTGATTAATTTGAATTAATAAAAGGAAAGACGGCATTAGCACAGAAAGAGGAATTTGTCCCAGAAGCTGTTTCCCAGAGCAGCAGGCACCGTGACGTGCACTTTCCACACCACAGTGTGGGGATGCAGAACTGGTTAATGACTCTTGATGTCTCTTCCCTGTCATCTCTTCCACACACACCCATTTTAGGTTCTCTTATTAGCAGGAAATTCAGCCACATCAGACTGCATACATAATTCAATTTACGGAAACACTAAACTCTGTTAAACAGGATGAAGAATGAGTGGCATTGCAAACAGATGTATGCACTGATACTTAGAGCAGTTTGTCAGCCTTTTTTAACTACACAAACTTGCAACCATACTCAAGTTAGCCAAATAAACAGATGTTTCCTGGCACAGGAACATTTATCCTAACACGCTTTTAACCCATCTCTATATTTAACAGACATTTTTTAGCTTTTAATTTTTATTGTCAACACTCCTGGTCAATTCTGCTCCTTCAGTTCTTCACATGACCACAGCCACTGTGTCCTTCCTTATCTCAGTCTCAAGAGCAGTATCATCAAACCAGCACCCTAATGTCTAATACTTACCACTCATCATCACAAGACACTCATAGTCCAGCAGGGTCCCAAAGGCCGCAGAGACGTTTTCTGGGAGAGGGAGGAAGAAATTTCTGCTTGCTCATGTTTGAACAGTAAGGCAGATGCAGAAATGGTTAAGGACTACCTTCCCCCACACTGTTTAGCTTATGAGCAGACAGCCAGCTTGGCTTATTTTTCTTGGCAAAATGAAGGCTGAAAGTGAACAATATTACTTCTGAAACATGCCAAAATAAATACCAAGGAAAGACAAGGACTCTCAGCAAAAGGATGTTGCCAAAGAGTCAAATAAGTATGAAATTGGAGAACAGATTTATTTTGAAAATTACAGTATGCTTCTAACCATCGGAGCCCCAAGGCTTTGAAACAACTTTCCAAACAAAGTAGGGAAGAGCGATTTATCTACTTGTACATGCAGCCAGGTAGGTTATTATGAGGGGTGCTTCCACAAGTAAGCCCTTTTTTTTTTTAAAAGTTTTATTTCAGCTTTTTGGGGAGATTTATGACATGCCTTTGCTGCTCTCTTCACACTCACAAGTGTTTGCAGTTTGGTTGGTTTAAAGTTTTAACTAACAGATCTTAATCAGAACACTTAAGTGTTCAGGAGGGCACATACAAACTGAAATTATTTGAAATTAATCATATAATGGCAGACAGTCACCTATTTATATAGATAATGGATACAATCAGGCATTTTCAAACGTATTGCTTATTTTAAAGCAGCTATATCAACTGTGCAAATTGTGACACAAAATAAGCTGTGAAGCAGTGTGAACAGGCCAGTAATGTATTTAAGGCAGAAGGGAAATGCATCCCCCTTATCACACACCTGTCCTGCTAACATCTGTATTTCATCATAATTTATGCTTGCTGACGACACCAAGCTGTGTGGTACAGCTGACACACTGGACGGAAGGGATGTCATCCAGAGGGACTTTGACAGCCCTGAGAGGTGGCTCTATGCATACCACAGGAAGTTCAAAAAGGCCAAGAGCAAGGTCCTGCACCTGGGTTGAGGCAAGCCCAAGCATAAATACAGGCTGGGTGGAGAATGGATTGAGAACAGTCCTGAGGAAAAGGAACTGGGGATTCTGGTAGATGAAAAACAGGACATGAATCCACAATGTGCACTTGCAGCCCAGAGAGCCAACCATACCCTGGGCTGCATCAAAAGAAGCATGGCCAGCAGGTCACTCTGTCAGATCACTCACCAAGAGATCTACTCTGCTCTTACCAAACCCCATCTGGGGTACTGCGTCCACTTCTGAGGCGTCCAACATGACAAGGACAAGGACCTGCTGGAGCAAATCTGGAGGAGGGCCATGAAGATCAGAGGGCTGGAGCACCTCTTCTATGAGGACAGACTAAGACAGCTGGGGCTGTACAGCCTGGAGAAGAGCAGGCTCCAGGGGATACTGTATAGCAGCCCTCCAGTACCTAAAGGAGGTTTAGAAGAAAGTAGGAGAGGAGATTTTTTTACAAGGGCATGTAGAGATAAGACAAGTTTTAAACTGAAGGAGGGTAAGTTTGGATTTTAGAAAGAAATTCTTTACTGTGGGGGTGGTGAGACACTGGAACAGGCTGACCAGAGAAGCTGTGGATGCCTCATCCCTGGAAGTGTTCAAGGCCAGGTTGGATGGGGCTTTGAGTAACCAAGTCTAGTGGGAGGTGTCCCTGCTCATGGCAGGGGGATTGGAGCTAGATGATTGTCAGGGTCTCTTCCAACATGAATCATTCTATGGCTCTATGACTTTAACAGATTGCTTCAGCCATTGGTAGCTTTTGTAACGAACTGGTTTTCAGCTAGAGAACAGAAAAGCCCTCCTTGGGTCTCCCATAGAAAGAAAGGAAAGCATGCATCGATGAAAGCTACTCTCTGCATGAACAGGATCTTTTCTAACTGTCTACATACATACATATTCAAATGTATTACAGGAATAGGTAAGAAGACACAACTCTCACTCATTAAAAGAAAAAAATCTCAAAAGCCATATGTCTGCCTCAGTACTATCATGTTACACAGTATTTTCTTAGATATAGTTACACAGACCACAGACTGAAAGCAGCACAAGTCAGGTGCCTTGGCGGTGAGAGAAGACTGGCAGCAAGCCTTTGTTCACATCTGTAGAGATCAGTGAAGCAGATTTGGTGGTGTTCTGCATTGACTTATAAATTCCCTATGTTAACCAGATTACATGAGCATTTATTGTGGGGATATATTTGCTGAACCAAATAAAGGGGCTACTAGGAAATACAAGCCCCTTTTTCTGCCAGCATAGCAAAAGCTTCTCACCAAACATGATACTTCTTCTAGACACATTAAGCAATTTAGCCCTGACACAGTGGCAGCTATACCCTGTTTGAGATATGTTTCTAACATTAAATCATAATTCAATTCACAAAAGGACTCCTCTTCCCCATGTCCCATAGAAGATTAGCTTTGGTTCAAATGCTTCATTAAGTTGGAGAGTTTCATTAAGAGTCTTTGCCTGATCTCATGGCTGAGATGGAGGCTCCCTCCTGTATCCTCACTGTTCCTGAATTTCAGCCAATGTGCAGCCACAAAGTCAAAGTGGCAGAGATGACCCCTGAATCTAATACATTTCCTGTTTAGTCAGTGGACCAAGTTACTTGAACACCTGCATACTGTATTATATAGGCAGGTTTTAGCTTTCTCCCTAG